CTCTTACAGCTTAATAGAGAAGAGACCAGAACACTCCAACAGGGGTGGGGGAACAAAGTATGCAATATTGTCTTCCTGTTGCTTTAAACTTGACTTCTGTGAGCGTCTCTGTTACTCTGTGTCCTGGTCTGTGTCTGTTGCTAGTAGAGTGACCCTGTGGATAGATGCCCTTTCTCCCTCCTTCCCCAGCTCTCTGTAGTGTGCCCTCCTATGCGGATGTCTGTCTCTAGCACGTTTTCCCTTTATATTGTCCTTGTACAGAGTTGCTTCATCATATTAATAATAATTAAAACATGATGGTATGATGATGTGATTTTTTGAGAGAAAAAATTTAAACTGGCTCTCTACACATGGTCTCCTCTGCCCAGAAAGAGTGGGCTCCCCAACCTTCTAGCTGTTCACCCGCTTTATTTTCTCCAGCTCAGATGAATAATAAAAATAATAAACCTACAATAATAAAGGATGAGCAGTTGCATGGACAAGAATATATGAGCAACCAAGATCTGTTGATGAGCTGCCATCTCCAGTCCCAAGCAATTATTAGCAGAAAGAAAATTGAGGGATGGTAGATGAATGGGGAGGAGAGGGATATCTGAGGATCACAGGGTTGTACAAATCATGTGGATAGTCTGGAGGAGGCTGACACTACCTGTGGGACCACAGAAACAAAGTCTGAGCTGCAGGAACTCCAAGAAGTGAAGCCAGGGTAGGAGATGGGATGGTGCGAGTGCCATGGGGTATAGGGCAGGGGCTGGTGGGTCCACACTTGAGCTGTATGGTTCTAGCTCCGTGCATTCACTGTGAGAGCACATCTGGTGCACTGTCAGATGACTGGACAGGGTACTAAAGACTGCTTGAAGCTAGTGATAGAGGCTCCACCTCTGTCAGCTGCAGTCCCATCCAGGTCATGCTAGAGGGGGGCTCCAGTCTGGGCCAGAGTCTAGTCCCAGCTGGGCCCGCGAGTCCTCGGCACCTCTGCCTCACTCCTTCCTTATGGATGGGACAACCTCCCTTTGCCTCCACCACCCATGAGCCTCTGGTCCCCGAGTTTCCCTTTCTCACAGCCAGGCTCCAATCACGAGTCTTCTCCACACTCCTCCTCCACCCTCCTGGGCCTGCTCCAGAATGGCAGGAGCCCCCCGCGCCCCCCAGCTCAGCCTCCTGAGCCAGGCCTCCTACCCTGAAATCTTTCTTTCTCTTTCTCTCCTCGTTTTCTTACTCCTGCAACTAGAAAAAGTACCAGATTGAGACCAAATCCTATCCTCCCTCACCCCAATCCCCTGCTGAGTGTGCATCTGAGGGGTTCAGGCAGGAAGGATATCCCAAACTTTGGGGGTACTCATATAAAGGGCCCACAGAGTTCAGGGGAGGCTGGGGGCTGGGTAGCTTCTGGAAGCCTTGAGCTGGGTGGAGGGAGGGACTGGACTGCTGCCCTTAGGTCTAAATGAAGGTGGGGGGAGAGGGTCCTAAATCCCCTCTTCTTAAGCCATATCTATACAGGAAGTTAACAGAGAAAGCATTTCTTGCTAAATAGGAAAGAAGGAAGGTCAGGAATAACTGATCTTCAAATTATTCCTTTGATTTATTCCCAGAGACAGTGCAGATCTGAGAGAAAAGGTTCCTTGTTGGGTGTTGTCTATGCAGGCCCTGAGACTCAATAACTGGGGAAGCTGTCAGGGAAGGAAAAAAACACTATAACCTCTTCCCAATGGCTAAATAACAAGTCCTTGGCTCTCCTGGACAAACAGAACGTCATGCTTGGAGCCCCAACCTAAATAACCCAGGGTGCAGTTGAGCTCTGTATCTGGGCAAAGACTGCATCTATTTTTGCACTTGTTTGTCTGGTTTAAGCCCTCAAACTACAACTCACTCCACTGATTTAAGACAAAGCATCCTGTGTCTGTAATTGGGTCTTGAGGGACAAGAAAAGGGGAGAGTTATCTGGATAATTCAGGTAAAAAATAATTTCACTGTTGTGTATGTGTAAGCTTATACCATTCAAATGAGTTGTGTATTTGGCCCTGATTATCACCCAGTTCTACCCCACTCTGCGCTGCGTAGACGCAGGTAGGGTATTTTAAGCCACTATCGAACTGACGGGAGATGGGTCCGGCAGCCCGGGTTCTGCGGATGCTAATACAGCCAGAAACCCGGCGCGATCGATGGCTCAGACCCAGAGCCAAGCAGGGACCGCCGGCCCCATCTGAACAAAGCAAACCCCAGGGACCTAGGGTTCCGGACCGGCCAGAGCTTCCGCCCATCCTCCCCGCCATCACCCGGAAAGTAGGAGAGGATTGTAGGCCCCCAATCTGTGTGGGAAACGCATACCGGAGCCCCCAATCCTCTCTGCGCGGTGGGGACATGGAGGCGCCGAAGGTTCCAGCGTAATTAAGCGCGAGGTTGGCTGCGGCCAAGGACCCCAACGCCGCGCATAAGCCGAGTGTTTGGCCCGACCGGCCGCCCTATGGTGTCTGCCTCCATCTAGAAGGAGCTGCCGATTTTCCGCGGGGAAGCGTGCGTCCCCGGCCCGCCCCCACCGAACGCCCCGCACCACGTCAGCCCGGCGCCGAGCTAGCGATCGCCACTCCAGGCTCCAAGACAAAGACCCGCCGGCCGCTGGTGGCCGACACGGGCGCCTGACCGCTCGCTCCCCGCCCCGCATCCGGAGCGCTCCGTGCCTCGGCCCGGCGGACAGGGCTCTGGAACCTCGGTCCAGTTCCCCGAGCGCCTGACCCGATCTCGGATCCGGGGCGCCCGGGATCCCAAGGAGAGGAAACACGGCGCGCCTCCCAGCCCCGGCCCCGCCGCCCCACGTAGCTGCCAGCCCAACCAACAGCGCCAGTCGCCGCCCGAGGGCCGCCGGCCCCCGCGAATGACGGGATGACCCCTGCTGGCCGGAGCCGCGGAGACCGCCAAGACCCGGACCCGCCCAGCTGATCAGCCCCGAGCCCCAGCCCGGGGAGACGCTCCGTGGGTTTGTGGGTGACTTCAAAGAGCAGCCTGAGTCCCAGACTTTGCCAGGCTGCGGGAACCAGGCCTTTCTCCCAAATGGCCTCCCTCTGCTGGGCACGCTGCGTCCGCACAGCGGCGGCCAGCCCTCTTGCCGGGCTCCTCACCTCCGGCGGCTCTGCCTCAGGCTCCTAAATAAAGCCTGTGCCGCCCGCAGGAGCCTGGCACCGGAGGCTTAGAAGAGATCAAACGCAGAGAACTTTTAGCCAGTGCGACCCAGCCTGTTGCCTGGGGGTGACTTCTCCTCTCTGAGCGTGAGTAGCTTTGTGACAAGCCTTTGGTTTGTCAATTTTCATGATCTGGAGTGGAGAACTTCAAGAACCGGTCTGTGCGGATGGAACTCACTGGTAGTTCTTGCTAGAAAAGCTCCCTGTGAAAGATAGTCCACATTCGGAGCAGGGAAAAGATGTTCCACAAAATGTATGTCTGGACACACTGCCCACATAACCGACATATTGAAACAGTCTAAAATGCACAGAGATCTATATTACATGTACATTCTGGGAATGGAAAATATATTTCTCTAGAAAATATACAAACGTAGGCACACATCTATTGTATGGGAAAGCACCCTCCTGAAAAAAACATTACATATAGCATGTATATCCATCATATATAAAAATTCATTTACATGTATAAACAGTACACTTGCACAGGGACAGTACAATCCTGCACCTATTTAAATACATGGGTATATACACTCTAAAAGTCATATAAAATCAACACATGGACAATGCATCCAGATAATAATAATTATATTAGATATTAATAGTATTATATCTAATTAATATATCCACATTTTAAAACTTGGTGGGAAATGTATCTTGTTATTATATATACACAAAGTGCATACCAACTCAGTACATGAAAAATATATTCTGTGAATTACATTTCCATATATAGTGTATGTGTACCAAATACATTGAAGTACATACTTTGGGTTCATATAGTATTGTATATTTATAGTACACATTTCTCTGCCAATCTTAAAAACAGTATCAGGAGAAAGCCCACGCATTAGCAATGACATTCTCCATCAGCAGAAGCTCTTTTCTATCCTTCTGTACTTTCTATTATTTCTGTCTTTTCAAAACACCCTCTATATCTACATGGATTATTTGTATCAGTGGTCTCCTGTCTCTGTTTAACTGTTGCCTCTCTTGTCTGAGGTCAGGGTCTATATTTTGAGCCCTAAGTCCTGTTTGCAGCAGGGTCTAACTGCACATATCATACCTGCATGGAATTGGCATTTTCTAATTACTTTACCCCTTCTATCTTAGGATTTGTTCTTCTGGACCTACTATAAATATCCAGTTACCCTGGGTTGCCAGTTAGGGCAGTGCTGTAGCCAGGAAAGGCATGTAACAGGCAGGTTCTGAGTGTGTGCTGAGCATACAAGGGCTCCTTGAAGAGTGAGGATTGTTTAAATTTTTAGAAATTTACTTTCAAAATTCAAGTCTGGGAAGCAGCATCAAGTAAAGACTGGACCTTGTCTCCTCTGCTCCGCTCTAACCCCATAGCACAGCTCCACCCCACCAGGCCAACCAGGGAGAAGACTGGCCTGCCCAGCTCCTGGACGCGTTTCCAACTTCAGTCTCAAGCAACTGGGGAAATTCATCCCATAAGCCAAGCTTTTCTCAACAAAACCCATTCCCAGTGCTTTTCCAGAGGCAGTAATAACTTAAAGCATTTTGGGGGGCTGAGCAAACTCTGATTTGGCCCCCTAAAAATTAGGTCCACTTGGGTCCTTCTTTAGTAGCTAAAAATCCGGGACTATCTGACACATGCCTGTGGAAAAATTCTTTGAGAGACAATACACTCATACCCGACAGAGATATTGTTTATGAGTCGATGGGTTCTGTGTAGATGCGGCCGTATTTTACTGTCCAAAGGAATCAATTAATTAGTGCCTCACCAGTCCCCACACCCGCCGCTGCTTGGTTGAGCATGAGCTGCAGAGATAGATGTACGCAGCCAGCTCGCTGGTCTTGTTAACAAGCCTCGTCATAAAGATGGAGATGATAAGAAAAGCAAGGAAGCCCTGGTGGCTGTGAGAGGGGATTTCGAGGGCCCAGCCCAAGGGTCTGTGGGTTAGCAGCAGGTCCGGAGCCAGAGCAATGCAGGAGCCAGAGCGATGTAGGACCGAGGATCAAAGAGGTGATCTGAAACCGAGGATCACCGAGGATCTGGTGTATCCAGTGATTTTCCCTTCTAGGGTTGAAATGCTGTGACTTGAATAACTCCCTCTCCCCTCCCCCCTTCTTGAGTTTTCCCTTTTTAAAATCAAGACTCAAATTTTTAAAAATTAAAAAAAAAATAAAGATACATAAACCTCTGTCCATGAGTGCCTGTCTTGCCTTCCACCACGTTTGTTCAGGAATCTGCCGCTTTCTCCTTTCCCCGAATTTCTCTGCGTGGTCCTTTTTCATCTCCGTCTGGCACTTTCTTCCCTCCTTTGGCTTGCTCTCTGGCTTCAAGCTTGCTTTTTCTACCAAGTTGATACTGGCTCAGGCCCCAGTGAGCTTGTAAAAATAATAATACAGATACCCCTACTTATCTCTCAGCAGAGTAAACACCCCTAGATAAGCCCAAAGGAAAACAAAAAACAAACAACAATAAAACATTCCCCTCCCCCCCCAAAAAACCCCTTGGATATAATTCCTGGTTTGGGTTGCAGCACTTAATTCTGTTTATTCTCACCAGTGTGGATACTGAACAGAGAGATATTGATACTAGAAGGCAGGGCGGAATTAATTTTACTTTTGTAGTCACCTATTAAGAGCAGAGTGATCTGAATCTCCTTTAAAGGGACCAAAGGGGGGGGGGGGGGTGGAGAGAGAGAAAGGGAGAAAGGGAGAGGGAAGGGAGAAATATGACTGAAGGCAAACAAAGATCTTTGCCTGAAGAAACAATGTAACACTAGACAGAACTATAAAGTCTAGGAATGTAAGAAAGCAGGCTCTCTCAGCTTCCCCCATTTGGAATCCGTTCCCTTGCACTTCCTGCTGAAATCTCAACCTGACTACCCAGCAGTATTCAAGGAAGGATTCATGCAATTATCCGGATAATTGTAGGGGGAGAGGGAAAGCATTTCCTTTTGATGGTCTGATCCTCTCTGGTGTCTGTGCAGAGGAGGAGGAGAGGGGGGTGTAAGGGGGAAAAGAGATGGTAGGGTCTCCCAGTATAACCCATCCCCTACAAGATGGCTACTCCTAAACCACTAAGGTCCTTGGCAGGCTTACAGATTCTGAAACATACTCAAGAATGGACAGAGTCTCACTTTCATTTTTCAGCATATTTCCTTGGCTTTACTTTGTCTGCATAGATCTGCCTCATCCAGTATTGTAATTATCACAAGTAAGCGAATAATAGATAATTATAGGGGTGTCCATAATATCATTTATTTTATAGCCACACAAGATATGATTAGAGTTAATGTTGGAGGCTTTGTTGGAGCTTGGGAGGCAACAAGAGGCAAAGCAGAGAGGCCTGAATAATCTCTTTTCTATTTTCATATGTGTGGGAATATCCAAATCCCTATTTCTCTAAATTCCCTCCCCAAATGCCTTAAGTGAAATAGCTAGGATTTTACAGGCTGAAAACTCAGAGAAAGGCAAACAGCAATTTACTCCTTAAACCTTTCCTTAAGTCTCAAGAGCAGTGGTCTCTGCTCTCCCCATACCACCCCACCCCCAACAAGAGCTTCATCCTCAGTTAAAGACCCCTAGGGTCACAGAGACCTGGCAGGTGAGGCCAGTGAAAGGAAGACAGAGTCTTACCAAAACCAAGTTCATTGCCATACTCAAATGGGCACTGGGCCCAGAATGAAGCCCCTGTGATCCCAAAGTTGCCTTCTTTCCTGGCCCCTCTTCCTCAGGGATACCTGGATGGGGGCAGAAGCCAGGCGAGGACCATGGAGGTCAGTTGGGGTGGGGATGGGAGAGTATTGAAAATATTATTTCCTGTTCCTGAGATTCAAAAGATCAGGAAAGAAGAGAGAAACTGCATCAGAGAGGCCAGGAAGAGAATCAAGGGAAGCCATGAAACCAGAAGGCAAGAATCAAAAGAACGAGTGAAAGGAAAAGAGGAGGAAGAAGAACAGCGGGGTTGGGGGGGGGAGGAAGAAAGTAAAAAAGAAAGGGTAGGAAAAGGGGAAGAAAGGGAGAGAAGGGGGAAGGAGGAAGTGAAGGGGAAAAGAAAAGAAGAGACATTTGACAGAGAAAGAAAGCAGGGAGGCAGAGGCCAGGGTCGCCTGGGCTCTGCCTGGCTGCCTGCAGCGGTCTGGGTGGGCGGGGGGCGCCATGACAAAGTGAAGGTCAAGTTAGCATCGTACCTTATAAGGAAGGCGTCGGTCCTCCATTTCAGCCTTTCTTTCTGCCAGGACGTGGCCGTGGCATTTCTGGTCTTGTAAACACTGGAGTCTTAGGGGCCTTAAAAAAAAAAAAATACCCCCCTCCTTCCTTTATTGGGGGTGAGCTCGGCCGGCTGGGGGAAGCAGTGGACACAGAAGTCAACTAATGAAGACTCCGGGAAACTTTTCTCTCCTTTTCTCTCTGGCTCCGCTCCCGCCAGCTGGGCCCCCTCCCCCTCCCTCCGTCCCTCCCTCCCTCCCTCTCCCCACCCCAGTGCCTCTTTTTCTCTCGGTATCTCTCCTTCTTCTGTATCTCTCGCCACCGTCTGTAACTCTGGGCTCCGTCTCTCCACTCCCTCTTCCCAATACTGCAGACTTCTAAATCCCTTTCATTCTACCGCGAAGTGGAATGGGACCTAAGAACTGGAGAGAAAATTAGCCGTCACAAAGAAAAAAAAGTTCATTTACAGCTTAGATGCCTGACTGTTCAGATTTCCTTCGAAAACAAGGCGGTACACTCGGTAAGGAGGAGGGGAAGTGAGGCAGCAAGAGTGGGGAGGGCTGATGAAGCAGAGGACTTGGATTTATTTATTTCTGACATCCAGAGGCTGAAAGGGGTGGGGGAGAAACGGGAAAGTGAGAGAGAGAAGCGGTTGAACCCAGCAAATAGCAAAGAAGGAGGCTGCAGCGGGGGACGGGGAGCGAAGCGCAAGGAACCGGTGGCGCGGCGGCGATCCGCGAGCGCTGAGCCGGCTCAGCCTAGGCCTTGGGTACAGAGAGACAAGGGCATTAGATGTCTGTTGGTCTGAGAGGTGGGGACGGCGGAGTGTGAAGGCAGGGATGGAAGGAGTCAGGGAGAGACAGGCGGAGTGAGGCGGCGCCGCAGCCGGCGGGCCGGAGGGGAAGCGAGTTCCGGAGCCGCCGCGGCGGCCCAGGCAGCGGGAAGCGGGCAGCGGGCGGGCTAAGGGGAGAAAGGCGGCCAGAGAGAAGAGCCTGAAGTGGAATCCTTAGCCGGGCCCCTCCAGGGTACAACACTGGGGCGGGGGCGGGCGGGGGGGTAGAGAGAATATGGCGTGGAGGTGTCCGTGAAGGACTCACCTCTCTCTAGGACTTTTCCTGTTTTCGCCTGCTCTGCGCCCACCTTGCCCTTTTTAGGCCTAATCATTGCTTATTACATGGGAATTCTAATAGCAAGGGAGGGAGGCCCTGATGGCGGGCTTCTGGTTAAACCTGATGCCCCACAAACCCCTTCTGGTTGTCACCTACACCCTTCTTAACTGAAAAATCAGCCCTCTCCCACTTGACCTACCTGGTTGAGGGCACCCAAGGGTTCTCGGGAACCTGAAGTGGGGCCTGGGGCCCAGGTGGGAGCAGCCAGGAGCAGTGAGGGTGGTCAGGGAGCTCCCAGGCCTGCGCGCCGGCAGCCCTCCCACCCTGCGTTCTGATAATGAAAAACAAAGGGGGAGGATTTGATTATTTCTGCTGGTGTTAAAGGAGCCTGGCTTTCAAAAACAGCCTCTGACCCTGAGCTCTAAGGTGATAAGTGTCTCTCTTATGGACACTTAATCTGGGTAGACCTCCTACTGCCTGGGCTCTGGGGGCTGAGGGGGTGGCCAGGGTAAGGACATTTGAAGCCAGGAAGCCCCAGGGAGGGAGCGGCAGGCCCTCTCTGGCACTCTCTAGAATTCTGTGGAGAGTACTTTTAAAGGTCAGAATGGACTGGGGAAGCCCTTTTCTGAGGTTTCCCTCAGCCCTGGGAAAGTGAGCCCTAAGAAGGGAGGGAGTTTATTAGGAGCTTGGACTTTTCCCTAATGTGGGAAAGACAGAGATAGCCAGACCTTATCCTGCAAAAATGCATTTTGTGCCTGGAACAGAAAATTGGTAGCCACTGGGGAGACTAGGGCAGTGAGTGGACCAGGGCCAGATGCTGTGGAAAGAAGGCAGAGGTTGAGATGTGATTTAGGGTGGGTGCAGGAGTCTGAGTGAAAGGGACTGGAAAGGTATCACCCAAACCCTTTTTCTCAGAGAAGCTAAACACACACACACACACACACACACACACACACACACACACACAAAATGGGCCCAAAATTGAAAAACACCAGATGATCTGCTTCGAAGAGACATAAACAGGCCAAGCGGATGCAGGTTAATAAAACCCGCAAAATCCCAGACAGGAACACTTAAAATGCCCCAGAAACAAAGTGTACCGTGACAAATTCCCACCCAACACACAAGTACATGTACCAGAATGTTCCCAGGCACAGGCAGTCCTTCCATATTTCCAGCTCCCACCCTGGGACACTCAGGTGAACCTGCCCAGATCCCAAGGCAGATGCACATTTGCGTCCCCTGCTAAACCTACCCACCAGGAGCCCCTATTGGGCGGGGCGGGGGGGGGGCTGCACAGACACCCAACATAGTGTAGGCCGGAGTCTCCTGAGCCTCAATAATGCATGATCCATACCCGGAGATAAAAGTCTAGACAATAGATGGCTGTTTATGACAACAAGGCGTTCCAAGTTTGGGGCCAGGCGATAAATCTCTGGCGAATCTTCCTGTAACTCAACTTCTGGCTGTAGTGACCGGAGAACCACGGAGACCGGAGACCGCTGAAAGGGGAGCAGCAAAATGGAAGATACTTTGAAGCTGGAGCAGAAGGCGACTTCCCCGCTCGGTCAAGGGAATGCAAGTAGCCGCACATGGCAGGTCCACAGTGTGGAAGCTTTTGGATCAGGCTTCAGAACACAGATGAGTCAGGCTTCCTGGCTCCTGAAATCAGGGAGAAATAGCAGGGCCTGGAGGCTGGGACAGACCCTCAAACCATTCTTGCTGCAGGCAAAGGGTCTATTTTGTGGGTGACCCAAATCTTCTTGCTATGTGTCACCTGAATTTTTTCACCCCACGCCTTCTCTCTCTCTCTCTCTCCCTTTCCTTTTTGGATTGATGGGCTGTACCCTTTTGCATTTTCGACCCAGGCGTCTGATTACAAGTAAAGAGCCACTGAAGTTGATCTCATAAAAATGCCGCGAGCTCACTTTGATCTGCGCGGACTGGGTCCGAGCCTAAGTAGGCGCTAAAACCGGGGAATGGCGGCTCCGGCCAACCCGGCCTCCGCTCCGCCGCGAGGTCGGAGATCCTGGTGGTGGGGTGGCCCGGCAGGGCAATCCTGCTCAGAAAAGGCATTTTGTGTGTGTGTGCTGCTGCAGCTGAATTTGGAGACCAAGGTCCAGTGGTTGTGACTCCGTTTCCAGACTGTTTTTAAGACATTTCCTTCATTTTAGAGCATTTGGTGAAGGGGCCAGTGAAACTGGCTCGTAAAATGGGACTTTTATGGGGAGAAATGGGGTCGCGTTGCTAGACTCTCAGGACAATCCCTCCGCGGAGGAAAGAGGGTGGGGCTGCGGGGGCTGAGGGGCTGCCCTTTTCCCTCCCCTCATCGTCTCCAGAGGCCAGAGGAACCTCGGAGCAGCCCGTCCTCTTAGGTGACCTGCGTTAGGACCTTGGGCTTGGGCTGAGAAGAGATGAGGATTCGGAACTAGCAGTCCCTTTCCTTTCTAGTTCCCCGGCTGGAGGTGTAAGGTGTCCCGGGGTGCAAGATAAACCGCTGGCCTGAAAATCCGCAATCACACCTAAAGGATTATTAAAATCAGTGGCTTTGCTCTAATGGAGAGAGATGTGCCCAAAAGGATGCAACCGTTGCCCGGCAGCCTCAGACCCGCGGAGGGAGTCCATGTGCTGATTGCTTATCTTTTTATTGACTCCACAGAGACTGATCTTACAGACTTGAGAGCCCTAAGGGCCTCCTTGCTCTAACCTGAGGTTTCCTCCCAGTACTTGATCTGTGGGGGTGGGCCCCTTCCCTCCCCCCACCACAATCCACTCTCTCCTGAGCCTCAGCAGGAGGTGGACAAGCTGCAAGGGGGCCCAGTACTGGGTAGGGGGGTGCTGCGCTGGGATCCGAAGATACTGCCCCCTTCTGAAGCCGCTTCTGGTGTCTGCGTGTGGAAGGGAAGGGTGCTAGTATCTGTTGCAGCCCTGGCCAGAGTACCGGGGCAGCTACCCAGACCGCAGCTGCCCGCTAGCTGCCATTCAGGCAGACGGTGCTGACTGAGGCCACCCAGAGCCTCAGTGGGGCTGGCAGGATGGCCCCGCTGAGGAGGATTTCAGGTGAAACCTGGGTCTCCAGTAGGAGAGGCTACAGGCACCCATGAGATGAGGGGAAAGCCAGCCACCTCCACTCTGAGGAGTGGGGCTGCCCAGGGCTCTTGGGAAGTGATCTGGGGTCTCACTTCAGGGAAAGCACTGATGCCCAGAGATGCAGGCCAGGGCAGGTGGCTAAGCCTATGCTTCAGGGTGGCCTGGACTTAGGACTGAGCAGGGAGGCCATGCCTTGGGCACTTTTGCTCACCAATATCTTCCTGACTTCAGCCACCAGGGCCTTCTCTTCTTGACCCCCGTAGCAACCTCCTGTTGTTGGGACTTTTTCTACGCTGTTGAAAAATTAAAAGTCAGACCAAAAACTAGAAAAAACATTTTTTTGAACTTAGTGTCTTACTTTTAGGGAGACGAATATTAATGTTCAGAAGCCTCTGTTGGGAGACCTCACAGTTTCCTGAACATCTACTCCTTTGACATTCTTTCTTGCCTTTCTTTTTGTTTCAAGGAAATCGAGCCGCCAGCAGCTCCTTGCAGCCGCCTGGCTCACTTTTATGGTGGCCCTGGAATAAACTTTGGTGGTCAAATTCAAGTGCTCAGGCCCACAGCTGTCTCCTCACAGGAAGTGCACCCCCTCCCCACTGTTGGCTCTGGCGGTGCCTTGGGGGCTTGGGCCCCACAGTACCCTGGAGGCCAGGATGAGGGAGGAAGCATGGCCCTGGGGGGAAGTGGGGAAAGCCGGGGCTGAGACTCGGAGCCGTCATCCACACCTCTGCAAGGGATAGGGGTACCTCTCACCTCCTTCTTGCCAGTTCCTATCACTGTTTGGGGAGCATTTTGCCTCCAATAAATTCGAGTTTAATGAGGAGAGCACGAACCCCATAAAAGCCATAGCCCATAGTTCCCCATCATTATAATTAAAAACGCAGGCCCCAGTTCACCCTATAAAAAGGGGTAGAGGAAAGAGGAAAAGCAACAGATTTTTTTTTTCTTGCAGCTTACTCTTTAGCAAAACTCCAGTCTAGCTCCTCTCTGCCCTCAGTTAAGATCTGGCCAGAACTAAAGGAGGGCTTGGGAAGCAGTGCCCAGCCAAGAAAGGGTAAAGGGAAACCAGAGGCCTACCCTTGGGTATACCAGAGCCACCCCAAGAATGGGACCCATGGTCAAGGCTGTCCCAACCCAAGTGTTGCACTAAAGTAGATTTGAGGGGGCAGGAGGGTTGGGAAAGAATGACTTTGGGGGGGTTGTATTTGGAGTCAGGGTATAATTTTTTTTTTTTGTATCTTCCTAGTCTGGTATTGGGGCCTCTGTACCTTGTCAAGTTCATCAAGAAAAATCAAATACAAATACTATTTTTTTAAGTGGAAACCAAGTTTAACCATGAGTTAGGGGTTAAAAGAGGGTTTGGGCCATTTCTGGCTTTTCCTAAGAGTGCATGGACTAAGTCCTTGGGGGCTTCAGTTCCTCCCTCCTCCGACCCTCGGACCTGAACGGAATGGATCATGCTCTGCTGGCTCCTCTTTAGATGCACGGTTGCTCTGGTACCCAGTCCAGAACCCATCAATAAACCAATTTCAACTACCCAGATGTGTCCCGTGGTGCCCAGAGGGAAGGGAGGCAGGCAAGGGAGGGCAGAACCACTGAGTCCACCCCTTGGGTCACAGCCATCTAGGAGGCTGGCAGATGTGGAAGAGGGCAGGGCAGGGCTGAGAAACAGGAAAGAGGCACCCAGCAAGGTCTGGCTGCAACCCCTGGGGAGGAGGGAGTGGGGCTGGGGGTTTCCACTAGGGAGTGGCCCCTGGCCCTGCGCAGCTGGCCAGGGTCCTCAGTTCCCATCCACTGCCCTGCTGGTCTGTCCCAGAGGTCTATACTGTCCACCCGAATCATTCAAGGATATCACCCCCAAACCCAGACCCCCCCATCATATCCTACCTAGACCCAACACTGGGCTTCTTTACTGCGCAGAAGCTGAGACTGAGCACCCAACCCAAAGGGGCCCCGACAGAGAAGACGCAGGACTCTCATTGCAACCTTTTTCTTGGGGGTTGAAATTTAAAAAGCCACAGTGGATGCAGCTTTCTGCGCATTGATTGACAATAAAGACAGACATGAAATATTCACCCAGGGCCACTCTCTCATACTAAATATTTAACACAACATTAGAGAAGGTTTTTCCCAGACTTCGCCAGGCACCGGCTGGGCGGCTGGCTGACTGCTTACCACTGTTTATGACTAATCTGAGTCCCTAGCCGCCGGCAGCACAGCAAGCCAGACAAAGTTGGGACACTGGCTGGTTGCTGGGCCACCTCACCTTTGGGAAACTTCAGATACTCTTCCAGGGAGTCCCTCCAAAGGGGAAAGCGAGTCTGGATACCCAGCCCTGGCTAGGAAAAGAATCGACTGCTTCAAACTCTTGTAAACAGGCACTGACTCTCTTTGGATTGGTGGGGTAAGAGTCCCTGAGAGTTGGGGGGAAAGATTCACGTCTCCGGAGGAATCAGGCAGCGGAGAAAGAGGTCCTCCTCCCCACCCCTGTCTTGGGCTGATCACTGGGAGAAGGCAAGACCCCCCATACACCAGAACCGTCCTCCTTCTCCCAATCCTGGGGAAAAAAAAGAGCAGCAGCTAGAAAAAAATACAATTACCCCCTCCTAGCCACCGCCCCCGCCCATCCCACCGCCCACCCCACCCCAACCCTCTCTCTCTCCTCCTTTGCTGGCTCTGTGGAATGGAGAGGAGGGGAGTGTCAAGAGCAAAACGAATACAAATCTGCAATTGATTTTCATAATGTTTCTGCGGTGTTTGCAAACCAATCGCCTGAACGTCCCCATCTTACCTAAGAGAGAACCCCTCCTACGACTGCGAAGTGCTCCGAACTGATATATGACAATATCTACTTTGGATCACGTGCTCGGGGAGAGAGACTAAGACGGATAACGCGTCATCTCGCCTTCCCAAATTTTCCCCCCTCGCTAGACCTGGTCCAAAACCTCCATCTGGAGCCGGCAGAAGAGAACGATGTTTAACTCGGTCAACCTGGGCAACTTCTGCTCGCCCTCGCGCAAGGAGAGGGGCGCCGATTTCGGCGAGCGAGGGAGCTGCGCCTCCAACCTCTATCTGCCCAGTTGCACTTACTACGTGCCCGAGTTCTCCACGGTCTCCTCCTTCCTGCCCCAGGCCCCCTCTCGTCAGATTTCCTATCCCTACCCGGCCCAAGTGCCCCCGGTCCGAGAGGTCTCCTACGGCCTGGAGCCCTCCGGCAAGTGGCACCCCCGGAACAGCTACTCCTCCTGCTATGCGGCGGCCGACGAGCTCATGCACCGGGAGTGCCTGCCTCCCTCCACGGTCACCGAGATCCTCATGAAAAACGAAGGCTCCTACGGCGGCCACCACCACCCCAGCGCCCCGCACGCCGCCCCCGCCGGCTTCTACTCCTCAGTCAACAAGAACAGCGTCCTGCCCCAAGCCTTTGACCGCTTCTTCGACAACGCCTACTGCGGCGGCGGCGACCCTCCCGCCGAGCCCCCCTGCCCGGGCAAGGGTGAGGCCAAAGGGGAGCCTGAGGCGCCCCCGGCCTCGGGACTGGCGTCCCGGGCTGAGGCGGGGGCCGAGGCCGAGGCCGAGGAGGAGAACACGAATCCCAGCTCGTCCGGTTCAGCCCACTCGGCGGCCAAGGAGCCGGCCAAGGGAGCCGCCCCCAGTAGGTAGCAGCGGCCGGGAAACACGCGGGCAGGAGGGAGGGAGCTAGGGAGGGAGGGCGAGCGAGGGTAGGGGGGAGGCGAGGGGAGCGGGGACGGCCTCGTGTTTTGGGTCAGTCCAATTTTATGTGGAGTTTTATAAGCATTCAAAGGATTTTATTATAACCTACAAAGCCCTCTCTCCCAACGACTCGACTTTTTACGATGGAGAAGGGGTGGGGAGGGAGGGAAAAGGGCTCTTTGGAAAAGCCGGGTGAACCCCCCTCTCCGTTATCTCCTTCGGTCTGTGAAATTTTTAAAAGCGCCACCATCGCGGGCAATATTAACTTTGATCGTGAACTTAGAGGAGCATTTAAGGAAGGATGGGGAGCCCGGCGGCCGGGGTTGGGGGTGGGAGGGAGGGGAGGGGTGGAGGGGGAGAAAGGGGAGGGCAGGGGAAAGACAGGGAGAAACTCCGAGAGGGGGAGTGGTGCAGGAGAGAGGCAATGGAGCAGAGCCGGAGCCCGGGGAGTCCCGCCAGGGCCGCTCTGCTTCTTTTAAAAAAACTATTTTTTGAAATGTTCAAACTCTGTGTTGGCGGGTCCCTGAGCAGGGCCCGGAGCGACCCGAGGGTCAACGGCGACAGGGGGTGGGGGCGAGGCGGGCTCGGGGCTCCCCTCTGCTCCAGGCCTGGGGCTTGGCGTTTCCCTGCGGCCCGCGGCCTCTACGCCGCCTGGCCCGGCCGCGGGGAAGGCGCGGCCCGCCGGGCGTCCCGGGTCGCCAGGGCCCCCGGAAGCGGCTTTCCAGTGTCTCTGGTGCCTGCTCGCTTGCTTCCTCCCCGCCTCCCAGTGACTCTCGCCGGATCGCACTTCTTTGCGCCTGTTCTCCGCGGTCCCCCAACATTTCTGGGGGTGGGGGCGTCGAGGTGGGTTTTCAGAGCCACCCGGAGGGCAGAGGAGCGCGGCTGAGTGGGCAGGGGGCCTTGGGGACGCACTTGGCCGCGGCTGGCGCGCATCTCCCGCAGACCCCGCCACAGCCAAGGCCCTCGCCGGAGGGGAGGGGGCACGGGCCCCCGCGGTGGCCCGGGACGGGGGACGCGCTTGCCGCCCAGGCAGGGGGTCGCGGCTCGGCCCGGCGCCGCGCCCTCGGGAGGAGAGCCGGCCGGCCTGGCGGGAGGGCTGCCCGGCCGTAGGGCCGGCAGAGGGGCCCGCCGAGCGCTCCGGGGGGCTGGGGTCGCCCGGGTCTCACGTGTCTCTCTCCCCCTCTCCTCGCACTTGCCTCCTCCCCTCCCCTCCAGACGCCCCCCGCACCCGCAAGAAGCGCTGCCCTTATTCGAAATTCCAGATCCGGGAACTGGAGCGAGAGTTTTTCTTCAACGTGTATATCAACAAAGAGAAGCGGCTGCAGCTGTCTCGGATGCTGAACCTGACGGACCGACAAGTGAAAATTTGGTTTCAGAACAGAAGGATGAAAGAAAAAAAACTAAGCAGAGACCGGCTGCAGTATTTCTCGGGAAATCCTCTGCTGTAACCGCAGACTGGGCCCTTTTGAGGGGAGGGGGGAAAGGGGGAAATTATTTTATTTTATTTTTATTTTTTATTTTCTAACTCGCCTACTTTCCGCGGGTGGAAAACTGGACTGTGGCCAGGGCTGGCCCCCACTGCCGTTTCCCGCACGTCTTTCTGGACAACCTTCTTCACCTTGGTCTGACTCCATGTGGGACAGGGACAGGGCCTGGAATGGGGGGTGAAGGAAAGTGTGTGACCCACGGCGAGTGGACACCGTTGGCGCCGAGGCCAAGACTTTATTTAAAAGAAAACACACCTCGCGACCATGTCTTGCTGCTCGGATTGGGTGGGGGAGGGGCGAGAGTCGTGGGCGCCTGAACCGAACAATCCTTGAACTAAAAGCCTTCCCTTGCCCAAGTGACAATATCTGCTAGGACACCGGGCCTGGGAGGGGAGACTTCCCGGGCTCCCGGTCCCTACCCCACCTGGCTCCATTGGTAGGGGGCAGCTAAATGTGACCCCGCCTTGCTGTGAAATTTCTGTTCCTTTGACCTGGTGTTAGGTGTGCAAACTCGTGTCCTACCTCCGTCTACACCCAGGCCCCGCCCGAGCCTAGCCGTTCTCCCCTTGAAGGTGTAGAGCCCTCTTTCGAAATTTCTTAAGTGGTGCATTGAGGTTTCCTAACCTTTTTCCTAGCTGCGCCCCACTCCATGAATTTATAGCTATAGTCTATGCATTTGTTACCTCCTTTTTTTTTTTTTTTTGTTAAGGAACAAATAAAAAAGATTAGGGTGGAAGAGGCACTAGGGAGATGGGATTGGGCGCCTCCCCTATGCTGGGGCCTGAATTTTTTGTAAATAAATTTCACAAGCATTTCTTTCCACCCTGAGGGAGTGTGGGGAGGGCTGGCCTGGAATGAGATTGGAATCACCCATCTCCATGTGCGTGAGTGTGTGTACATGTGCAATCCCCATCCAGCTCGCTCCCTGTCCCAGAGGGATTGCTGTGACTTTTTTTTTTTTTTTGGTGGCAAATAAAGATATTTCATTCTGTTCAATATTATGATTTTATTTGACCCTTTTATTAGCCCCTCTCCTCTTAAAACCCTCAATGCTCTCCAGGCAGAGGAGGAGGCAGGCGGGCAGAGCGTGTGAAGGTGAAGTAGGCCAGAGCTAGCGGGCCTGCACCCTCCTTTCCACGGGTAGGGGCAGGAATGTGGCGGTAGCTTCCTCCAGTTCTCAGGCTGAGGACTTTCCACAGTGAGTCTCAAAGCTGTCCTCTCTCACGTGCTGCTCGAGCTTCGTCCAAATGCCCAGCAACGCTTTCCGTTTAAGCACACGTTTGTTGTGGAGTTAATTGTAACCATCATCGAATTTAAATTTATAGGAATTTTCTTGGCTCCACCGCCCTCCTGCCAGATGTCTCCGTCTGTCGCAGTTAAATGTGTAGGGTCGAGGGTAGGGTTTTTGGTTTTCCTTTTTCTCCCCCCCCCACCATGAGAAGACTGTATTGGAATTTTTATATACAGTTTTGAGGGAGGGAGGGGAGAGGGGGGGAAAACCAGCCCCCACTTTCCTCCCTGCGCCGGTCTCTGAGGGTGGGAAGGTGGGGCTGGGCCCCTTCCCCTCAAGCACAAATGGCCAGTTCCTCCAGACACAACAAGACCCTAGGCTGGGGCTGGCCACCCTGATGTTTATACCTTGGTTTCCCAAAGTAGAAAGCCCCAGAGATTTGTTTTGTAAGGGGTTGGCTTGGGGTGGGGCTCTGGGGAAGGAGGTAACCTGTGAGACAGTCGCCACACCCATCTATATTTGCTGCATGTTTTTTCTGTATAAAGATAAGCCTAGTCCTTTCAGCGCGTTCAGTGAGGGCACTCTGGTGGTCTCTGTTCCAAATTCGTTCTTTGGGGGCTGAGATTTGGAAGCAATTTTCTCATCTTTCCCTTCTCTTTGGAACTGTTCTGTAATTCAAAGAAAATGTTTTTTGTCAATAACAATTCTGTTGAATGAAAGAAAAAGCACCACGACTATGGACTGACTATTGCGTCTAGGTTCTGTCATTTTTGATGACAGAGGTATCTGAATCTCTAATTTGTAAATGTAGGTCTTGAGATGAAATTGGCAAACTGCGGTTTATATGCAGCCCCACAATCCTTTCATGTGCTTGCACACAAATATTTAAGTTGGGATGCCTATGGGTGCACATGAAAAGGAATGTTATGTGTACGTTTTTGCCTGTAGTATGGAGTAAAATTGACCCCATGCACATCTAGAGCTTGTGTCCTCCAAGCTGTGTGACCACTCGCGGTGTTTAGTGAATGTCAGCAGCAATGCAGCTGAGGAGCCTCTGTGTGTGTGTGTGTTTGCACGTGTTCACGCATGTGCACGGAAATATGAGAGATTTCTCTAGGTATGGTGTTTGTCCACCAGTAATAACAAGGGCTATTGACCTGCCGGCTGTGTTTCCAATAAAATAGGAAGGAGATAACGATAAAGCTATAGAAGGAACCTGTTTATAAAGCAAAATACTAATCTCCAAATGGCTCCTGATTTTGGAGAAAAATATTAAAAATCCAAAGCTACCACTTTCCCTGTATTGTGAAGCTCAGAAAAGGTCCCTGGCTCTAGAAGGATTTCTGAAGAAAGGCACAGAGTGACATAGTGAAAGAAAAACAAAAGCTTCTAGGATTCAAGCCCAGGAACCTGCCAGTCCTTAGTGACCCTCTAAAAATTAGGGGAAAAAAGAGGTCTCTGTCCCCCAAACAAACCCACCTTCGGGCCCCTGGGATGTCCAACCCCCCTTGCCGGTCAGGGGCACTCTGGGCTCAACCTCTTCGGGTAATCCCCTCCAGCCGCGGCGCTGCCTGGGAACAAAAGAGCCTCGTCTAGACGCCGCCATAAAGCGCCCCCCCCCCCCCCGTGCCTCTAAACCCAGTTTCATTTCGCCCTTAACGACCCAGTCTGGCCTGTGTTAGAAAACGCTTCCGCCCTAAATAGTAAACAAACCCGCCGTGGATAGGCTCAGCTCCCCCAACACACCCCAGACCCCCATTCCATTACCCCCTTGCCTGCATTTCCCCCCTCTTCTCCTCCTGCTTTTCTCAGCTCCCAGCACCCCCAATCCCCTCCCCCCACCCCAGTAAATAAACCCGAGGCCGAGTTCAAAGTTTCCTGGAGCTAAGGAGGAATGTTGGTTGTAAAAATCCAAGTTTATAGCGCACGTGGGAGTTTACAAGGGTATTAAGTGGTGTGGGCTGAGAGAGCACTCTGGGCCCCTCCCCCTCCCACTATGGGCTTTGGGGGTGCAGGGGGAACCTGGGGGACTTGAAAAGAAAAGTGTATTGGGGCCAGTCTTGGATTTGGGTTCTTTGTCGCTCAGACCTGGGGTTGCTGGGGGATGGTGATGCAAGGGAGACTTGAAAGAAGGTTCACAAAGCCCCACCAAGCACCTTTGAGAGAAAACCCACAGGTTCTAGGTGTCCCAGATGGGGTGGGTGGGGAGCTCTGCTTTGGACAAGCAAGGAGGTTACAGACCAGGTGTCTGAACGGTGGACAGAGTTGGGGTTACCCAGAACCCTTCCTCAGCCAGAGGAGGAGAAACTACCGGAGGCTGATTTCTCGAGTGGGTTGAAGGCAGAGGGGGTTTTTGCTCACCAGGGCAAAAAAGAACTTTGAACTTCAAGGGAGTCAAGGGCACCACCCCTTCCCCCTCCCCGCCCCTCTCCGGAATCAACAGGGCAATTCCTTTCTGAGCAAATATTCCCTCAAGGGGGCAGCCCCTGGGGTTTCCTGGTGCCCCAGGGCTGGATAATGCTGTTTGCTGAAGGCTCCCAGCTCAGAGCCCGCCAGAACTGTGTGCACGCGACTGCACTCTTTATTATTCATATAAACCTTTGGAAAAGGCAACGCCCGGGAAGTTTTTATAACTTTGTTTGGCGTAAAAGTTTTACAAGATTCCTCCTCCCTTTAAAAAAAAAAATTAAAGTTTTGGTCTTGCCATGGAATGAAGTCTCAGGATCTCTGGGAAGGTGGGAAGAGAGAGGTTCTGGAGTCCAGTGTGTGTGTGGGTGTGGGGGGAATGTTTGGAGATGCATCTCTAAGGCAAAACAAGGCTTAAAGGTAGGGGTTACTCATTCCTGAGACCCCTCTTAGCTTTGGGGGCTGCTGGGAAAGTCTCAGCCACTCTGCTGTTGAGACACACACTTACAGACCCCCAAAGTTTGGACGATGTCAACTGGACCAGATCTTTTCCATCACATCCTCTTGTTCTGTAGGCATCTCTCTCTCTCTCTCTCTCTCTCTCTCTCTCTCTCTCTCTCACACACACACACACACAAACCCTGCGCACCCTCAACCCACTGCGCAAAGTGGAGACCCATAACCTTGACTCAGACCTCCAAGTTGGCAGAGTCTCTGCACACATACACCCACATCCCTGCCTCCTGCGAAGTCCACAAAGGGTTTGATGAAAGACAGAATTCAAAACGACAAGAACTGCCTGCCCAGAGGTTGCAGCGATTGTAGGACTGAGAGAAGAGGAAAGCCAGTGGGCTGCAGTCCAGGAGTGTGCAGAACAAAGGTGCCTGTGTAGAGACGTGGCCTTGGGCTGCTAAGCCTGCTCGTGACTCCTTGGATCTGCCCCCCACCTGGGACTGACGGAACCCCACTCCTTCATTTCCCCTAACTCCAGCCTCGGGACTTCAAGTTGACTGAAACAAGGGCTATTTTAATGTTCAGCTCTGGAAGTCACGACAAAGACGGAGCAACTTCTCCAAAGACAGGCCTGGCGGATGAGGCTCCTTTGGGGTGATGGACTTGAGGATACCTAAGCCCTGGAGCTGGGCACTTCAGGGAGCCATCGGAGTCGGTCAGGACGCGCCCCAGCCCCTGCTTTTCCTTCTAATGGCGACTGCTGAGGCCTGGCTACCAGCCGCTGACAGCCCTACACTTCGCCTTGTGAGGAGCCGAGTTAAGGCTGGAGGCGGGGGAAGGTCAACTCCAAGCTTGAGCAGCGGGGCTGGGGAGGGATGCTACAGAGCCTGGTGTTCGCCCCCTCTCGGGGCGCCTGGCGCAACAGGGAAAAGTAAGAGCTGGGGGAGAAAGTCAAAGGAAAGGAAAGCTTTGAGGAGGAAAGAAGAGTAAAGAATAAATTGTATAATAAAGGAGGAAGAGAGAAATAAGGAAGACAATTAATTTAAAAAGAGAAAGAATCCGAAAAAGAGAAGGAAACAAATGGGTCCCAGAGAAAAAGAGAAAGAAGCAAATAACGAGAAAGGAAGAAGATGGGGAAAGAAAGGAAGGGGTGGGGAGGAAGATGGAAAACAAAGATCTTCAAAAAGGAATTTAGCCGGTAAGGGAGGAGCGAGATTCTCTCTGGAGTAAGCCGGGCCGACCGCAGACCTGACTCGGGCTGGAAACCCAACCTACTGGGTAACTTGGGAGCACACCATAAAGTGGGGAGCAAGTCTGCCCCCTCCCCAGACATCCTCCCATCCGTCCTCCTCCTAAAGCTTCTCTTGGATGTGTTTGCTGTCTGGTTTCAATTCAGGAGGCAAAGTTAAATAACTAGCTGGCTTCAGCGGGACAAGAAAGCAGTTGTGCTGGCTATCAGACTTCAGGATGCGGGAATCTCAGGGAGTACATTTTTTGGTAAAAGTGACTATTTGTGGCCCTGTACATACAATTAAGCGCCTAGTCAGACACATGTCTAGGCGGTAACCTCCATAGCATCTGGGCGCAAACATGTACAATGTCCAGATGTGAGAGCGTCTCTGATGGCTGGGCTGCCGGCGTGGCGAGGAGATCAGAGTGGATCAGAGGCCCCTCCAAGCGTCCTCGGTCTCCCACTTGCCTCTTGTACCTATTTGAAAATCCGCTTGCGGGGTGGGGTGGGGGGTCTGGGGAGTTTCTAAGCATTCTATCTTTTGCCTGAGATTTCTCTGCTCCCAGTTCAGCCGGGTCAGAGCCCGGTGTTAAGGAAGAAAGCAAATCTTTCCTTAAGTTTTGAAAAGAGATTGATCTTTTTGGGCCTCCAAAACAAGAGGGAAAAAAACTCTGCAGTTTTCACCACTAGTGTGATTTTGTTTTTCATTTCGCTTGAAGAGATTTCAACACACACACACTGTATAATTATTTTATTATTTGATCCTAAATGGAGAGACATTTTATTTTTGTTTCACTTCACCCTTGGAATTTCCTAGATGACTTCCTTAACCTGGTGAGGAAACTCCGCTAATTTTCCTTGGAGGAATCAGGGTGCCTCGGGGGCATTTTGAAGGCTAGAGCGGGCAAAGCAGCCGAGGTTCCTTTCTGTCCGTTGAGCACTACCTTTTCCTTCTTCTGTTTCCATGTGGGGACCCCTAGCGCCCCAGCCCTCAGCCTGTCCTCTGGAACCCGCCGACCACCCTGGAACCTGTGAGGAGCACCCTCCACCTCTCCCTCGGTCACAGTCCCACTGGCGGCAGGAGGCCCAGCTCTCATCCCTGGTGCCCTTTCCAGGGTCTGGGTACCAGAAGAAGGGCGCAAGGGGCCAGGGCTCTCGGGGTGGGGGGTTGTCAAAATATAGGTGCAGCCTGAGCCCCCTCACTGTGACCTGAAGCCCCTGAATTTTCGCATCCCCAAGTTGAGGCAAGAAGAGGGCAATCCGAGTCAAGCATAGACCCGGCACTTTCCCGGAAAGTTGGGTAAATGGCTTAACAGTGATTTTAGCAACAGACTTCTTCTGGACCCCAATCAAGTTCCCTAGGGGTGCAGGCCTGAGGCTCTAGGCCCCGTGGGGCTGGGCTGATGGGCGCCTGGCAGCGGTGGCAGGCGGGGTGGCCGCGGCAGCCTGAGTGCCTTTGAACGCCAGGCCCGGACAATAGGACTGAAACGGCCTTTGCTCGTGGCCTCGGGAAAGACGGAGCCCAAGGGGGCAGGGCTAGGACCCACACCCGGACCCACACAATCGCTCCCCTCTCCCCGTTCTCACCCTTGCATCTTCCTTCTTTTCGCCTCCACTGGGGCAGAAACCCAAGTCTGCAAAAACCCAAGAAGTTATTCAAGTCTGCGGCTTCGGGTACTTGTTTAACAGCTCTGGGTTTGCGTTTATCCTGCGTAATTAAAGGCAAACATTTGTCCCACCGGGGGTCCCACTTAGGCTGATGAATTTGATTTCTTTTTTCATTAATGGGCCGTGTTCATCATACTTCTAATTATTTCAACTTTAAACACTATTCGTTCTTGTGAGGAGGTGGGAGTGGAGGCGGGGAGTTCCTTCTCCCTGGGGGGGTTATTTGAAAGCGACTCTGTCCCCACCCTGGGCTGAGGTAAGGAGTGGGTTTGGGACCGGGGTCAGGTTGGTCTGGGAGACAGGTCGCAAGGCCCAGTGAGTCTGCTTTCCTCCAGCTGGTTCCCCAGGTTAAGCCATGGAGCTTGATGTTTTTGAGAGGTTATCTGGAGTTCGTCTCCCGCATTCTGCCGCCTCCCTCGCCCCCTTCCAGGCTAGGCTCAGACCCTTCCCCGTCAAGGCTCTTGGAAACCTTCCACAACCCCAGCGGATACCAGCCTGGCCTGGGCAGAGAGGCTCAGGGAACGATGTCCCGGCCCCCAGCTTCCAACACTGAGAGAAAGACCAGGAAAAGCTGAGGTGGTCAAGCGGCCCCTGGTGTGGGGGACAGGGCCCAGCAGACCCCAAAATGAGGAGCAAGGGCAAGGGACTGGGACGTCAAACTCCAGGGACAGGCACACCAGGCAGGAAAATAAAGGAGATGTGAAAGAGGGGGAGGGAACCCCCCAAAGCCATATAATTCTCAATTGCTTTGGTCTTTAATTTCATCGCCCCATAAATGAGGAAATATCAGTTCCCATACTAAATTTTTATCCTCGGCTGATAAATATGACGGGGAATTTTCGTTGGGTCCTCGTAAAAGCGAACAGTTTCGATCAAACTAGTGGGGAAAGACTTATGCAGATAATACAAACAGAGTGGCTATAAAGTCTCTGCGTTTCCCGTGGGGTGGGAGGTGGGACAAATGGCTCCCTGGATTGACTGCCGCCCCGGCCGGCCAAGTCTCATCTGGGGCCTAAACAGGCTAACCTTGCCCGGGCCAACCCCCTGTGCCGAGCCCACTGCGACCCCAGCAAATGAAAACACGAAAGCATTTCAAATCTCCCTTGGCTGGCCGGGCCAGCAAGTCACACATTACAAACATTTTCTTCCAGTTTTTCCTGGGGTTCAGGAACCCCTGAGCCTTCTCTCTGTCCCTCTGGATGCAAGAAATCGGCAGATTTCTTTCCGAAGTCGTCTTCTAGCAGCCGCCGGCTTGGGCCTCCCTAGAAGCGATCCAGTCTCCTCACTCCACGCCAGGGCGCCCGGGGCTCAGGTCCCTTTCCCGGCCCGGCTCCAGTCCTTTGGAAAATGGAAACCCGAGGCTCAGCACCGGGGGAAATGTGGGGCCACCGGAAAGACAAAATATTCTCCAGATTCCGTTTCCTGAGGAAGGGGTAGAGAGTTTAGTTCGCTTTGGGAGAAAGGCGATGAAGAAACGGAAAGAACTATTTGAAACATACCTTGTCTCTTATTTCTCGCTTCCCCTTATTACAAAAAAATAAAAAAAATAAAATCACCACCACAAAAATAGTCTGATTCCGCTCTGTTCAAAAATGCCCCCAGCTCCTTGGCTCCGTAAAGGGCACTTCTCTAGGTCGGGTTTCGTCACCTCTGTTGTCCCGGTTTCCTGGTTGATACGTGACTCCCCCCTAGCCGCTCGAGGCGGCCCTGAGGGTTCCCTCTCTCTGGGAATATTCCCTGTTTTCAAGGGGGGCAAGGTCAACTGGAAAGCGAGGGCCGCCAGGGCTCGAAGCAAAGCAGCCGAACCGGCTCCAAGGCCAAAGCCTTCCAGCCTCGGAGTTGATAGCCCCGGAGCCGCCCACCCAGCCAGGCCCAGGCCGCACTCCCTGGTCGGGGAGCCGGCGCTTTGGGTTGCCGGCTTCTGCCTCCCGCGACCCCTAAAGCCCTTCGGAACCTCCCTCGACCACGCAGCCCTAAAGCCGTCTTGACCCCTCCCTGGCCTGCCCCGGACACTGGAGACTCCCCGTCAATCCCCGCAGGGAACTGGCGACTCAACCAACTTCCGTGACAGGCGGTCCCGAGCTGAACTCCCAGCCCCAAGGAAGGAGCCCGACGAAGGAGGACGCAGGAGAGGAGAAACTTTAGTTCTGTTCGGGAGTCCTTAACTTTTTCTCTCCCTTTTTCTGCCCACAGGAGCCCTCCCCCAAACCTCACCCCACTCCCATCCCAAGGGAAGAAGTGGGGGCGGGGGCCAAGGCGAGGAAAAGAGGCGGTGAGGAGCGGGGAAGAAGTACCTGAATCGTGTCTTGACCTTTTAATTTGAATTTGACTGTTTTGAGCTCCGAGTTGCCTCGCTCCCTCACTCTCTCCCGCATTTCCCCCCACCTTCTCCCGCCCCCCTCTCCCCAGGAGTTACAGGCTGGTTCCCGGGTAAGCAAACCCCATTCTCCCTAGAACCCCCGCACCCACCTCTACCTCCCTCCTGCCCCCGTCGCCCCGGGGGCCCTTCCTTTGTTCGCGGGGAAGGGCTCCGGCGCCCCTACCCCGAGGCGGCTGCTAGGTGGCGCTGTTACTCCACGCTCCGCACTCCGCCTGCCGACAACTTGACCCCGCTGACGTCACGGCCGTCTGAATCATCAAGGCCATTTTCAAATCCCATTGGTCTAGCCGTCACATGGTGAGGCCCGAATGCGCGGATAATTATGGAGCTGATATTTCCCCCCCCTCCGCTTCTTTTCCCTCCCGCCCCTTCAACCGCCCCCCCTCCCGGATGGGGGAAAAAAAAAAGATGTCAGCTCCTCCGCTGTAGTATTGCTCCTTAAAAACCCCTCTCTCTGAAAATGACATGCCCTCGCAATGTAACTCCGAACTCGTACGCGGAGCCCTTGGCTGCGCCGGGCGGAGGAGAGCGCTATAGCCGGAGCGCAGGCATGTATATGCAATCTGGGAGTGACTTCAACTGCGGGGTGATGAGGGGCTGCGGTCTCGCGCCCTCGCTCTCCAAGAGGGACGAGGGCAGCAGCCCCAACCTCGCCCTCAACACCTACCCGTCCTACCTCTCGCAGCTGGACTCCTGGGGCGACCCCAAAGCCGCCTACCGCCTGGAACAACCTGTTGGCAGGCCGCTGTCCTCCTGCTCCTACCCACCTAGTGTCAAGGAGGAGAATGTCTGCTGCATGTACAGCGCAGAGAAGCGGGCGAAAAGTGGCCCCGAGGCAGCTCTCTACTCCCACCCTCTGCAGGAGTCCTGCCTCGGGGAGCACGAGGTGCCCGTGCCCAGCTTCTATCGCGCCAGCCCGAGCTACTCCGCACTGGACAAGCCGCCCCACTGTGCCGGGGCCAACGACTTCGAAGCCCCTTTCGAGCAGCGGGCCAGTCTCAACCCGCGCGCCGAACATCTGGAGTCTCCCCAGCTCGGGGGTAAAGTGAGTTTTCCTGAGACCCCCAAGTCCGACAGCCAGACCCCGAGTCCCAATGAGATCAAGACCGAGCAGAACCTGGCAGGCCCAAAAGGCAGCCCCTTGGAGAGCGAAAAGGATCGGGCCAAACCCGCCGACTCCAGCCCAGACACCTCCGATAACGAAGCAAAAGGTAAGGCCGCCCGGGCCATGGTCCGGCTGGGACGCTCGGGCACTGGGTCTTCGTGGCCCCGGGCGAGGGCAGGGAGAGGGTTGGGCCGAGGAGGCCCTGGACTGTCTTGGGAATGCGACCCCAGCTTGCGACTCGAGTCTGCTGAGCGCCAGGCTGGTGGCGCGTCACTTGGCTAGGGAAGGTAAGCGGCGAAGTGGAGGTGCAAGGCCGGCAGCGGCGCTGGGCGCCGAGACCGGGGTGGTGCACACCGCGGGCAGCCTGCGGGCGCCTAGTGCTGCCCAGGGCGGGTGGCCGCGCCTGGGTGTGTGCTGCCTTTGGTTTGCTTGCTCTACGTTGTTGTCCTGGGGGACTGATGTCCCCCCCGCCCTCAGGTCAGAAGCTTGCAAAAAAGCTTAAAATGGCGATCTTGGGCCAGGGACTAAGGGAAGCTTGGGAGAAGGGGGATTTCGCTTTACTGCGTTTTCCCAGTTGAAAATGTTTCCTGCGAAGCGCGAGTTGTTGTTTGTGGGTCTGATTCCTGCGTGTGGTTTGGGCTCCTGCGGTTTTTAGCTCGGCCGGGGGCCTCGGGCAGCAGAGCTGGGGCCGGAAGAGGTGGAGGTGAAGGGCTGCCCGCTGTGTCCCTCCCTCCCCCAGAAGCCTAGGCCGCCTATGGGGTTGGAACAGGGCATTTGGAATGTTGTTAAGTTTTTGTCTTCCCTTTGGAAATTTTCTTCTTTGCCTTTTTTTCTAGTTGCATTTATAAAAATGTAGTTTTCCCATTGGTTTCCAAAAGCAGCCTACAAATGAGTGGTTGGGAAATTTCTGTGTGCATGGTAAGCGGTTTTCTCCTGCAAGGGAGTGTGGCTTTAGTTGGATTTCATTGTGATTTTGGTTGGCGAGGGAAAGCCTAGGCAGAGTTCAAGCTCAGAGTTCAAGATTCATTTCTGCTGAAGGAGCTGGGGGCCTTCAGGACCTTTCTCTGACACCTGGAGAAAATGTAAAGGACACGGGAGCAGTGGAGGGAGGCTGAGGGGGTTTTCCATGAAAAGTTGGAGCAAAAAGCATCAGAAAGGGCCCAACTGGCAGACGAGGTGGGGGTGGATCACCTGCTCCCCACGGCACTGGCTCCTGGAGGCTGTGTGTAAGAAGGGCTCTTTGGATGCAGAGGCAGATGAAATAGTGAGAACTGAGCAGACTGAGGGTGGCCTGGGTCTTGTGGCGCTTTGTATATGGATGCGGTGCACACGCATGCCTGGCGGCGACCTGTGTCATACTCACACATACTCACGCATGCCCTCTCATACATGCACACGCACTCTTTCGTAAGGTGAGGACAGAGCCTCACCCTCTTGGGTCTCCTCTGCAAATCAAAGGTGGGCCTTGGCAAATCAGCCCATGGAGACCCTGGCCAGAAGATGGGCGCGGGTGTGTTCCTGAAGGTGAGGGGGAGAGACGCATACACACCCACCAAGCCTTGGTGCTGGCACATGTGCAGCACAGAAGTTTAATTTTATACCATCTCCCTACACCATGGGCTTGGTTGGGGTGCAGAGTTAAGGTAGGAAAAGCTGCAGCCTAGCCCTACCAAAAGCAAAGTCAAGGTTAACAAGCCCACCTCCTAGCTCAACTTGCCCCCAAGCCCGATAGATTCTCCTTTCTCTCCTGCCATCCCCACACCATCTAAACCCTCCAGCCCCAACTAATCCCTCTCTGCCTTCTGCCTGTGCCCTTCTTGCCTCCATCCCCCCATTTTGGTACCTCCACCAGGCCAGAGGCAAGCCGGCTTTGGGCCAGACTTCCCCACTTGTAATTTCTCCCCTTCCGCTAAACCCCAATTTAAAAAATCAATGGCACAGAGTTATATGTGGAAAGCCTTTGAACAATTTGGCAGGAGGCTGCAGGTGCAAAGGTGGGAGCAAAATTAAGGACATTCAAGTGTTTTAAACTAGAGCCTCAAGTTTGCATTTTTCTAGTGCCTCCTGGTTCCCCTAGAGCCCCCACCCCACTCCCCATCAAGATAGGATCCAGGAACCTAGCAGTTTCATTAGGCATAGAGGGGGACAGAGCACAGAGCCATCAGTAGAGTCCTTTGCTGGGTGTCCCTCTCGGATGTCTGGACTCTGGGTTTTCTCCCTGGAAAAGATAGCCAAGGTCCCTTCTGCTGCTTGAGGTTCATTTCAGGGAGAATGTGTGCCAGGGGGAGAAGCTATCCATGAGGGAAAGGGAAATACACAGTATATTTAGAGTATCTCCTTATATAAATAGACACACATGTGCATATCCCTGTGTGTGTGCATATGGGGAGGAATGTGTGCCTCTGCAGAAATGCGCATGTACATGCACGCATGCATATCTGCATAGACGAGGCAGGAGATTTCCAGGAGGCTGCATTTCTTCAGGATCTCTCTCCCTTGACCTTAGGTCTCTGGCCAGGGCAGTTGTCTGAGGACCCCTCAGCATGCCCCAGAGCTGCTGCCCCTGACCTCTGCTGCCTGCACAAGCTCCCTGCCTCAGGTACTCCTGGGGAGAACAGCCAGGAGAGGAAGAGCTGGCGATGGGAGATCCAGTGGGGGCAGAGCCTCTCTGTGGCACTTGGGTGGGAGTCAGGGCCGGGGGTCTGACTCTGGGTGCAGAGACGGCTGCATTGGCCTCTGGCTGCGGAGACTGGGGCAGCCTCCCTGCACTGAGTTGAAAGGGGCCAAAGCTCTCTGGGAATTGCTCAGGGCAGCAGCGGGGTGGCCTCTGTTACCCAGTCTGAGGCCTGGAAAACACCTTTCCTTCTGGTTGGGTTTTTTTTCCCCAGAGCTGGAAGGGAACAGAGAGGAGGGAGGGTCTGGTGGGGCTTAGAGAGCCCACCAGGGTCAACAAGCTGAGGGAGAGCCGGAGTACTCAGAACCTGCTAAGTCAAGGTGGACTGGGGTGATTAAAATTTAATAGACACGTTGGAGGCAAATACCTTCTGTCTTTCTTCCCTGTAAGTTGAGACCCCAGAGAAATTGTAAAAGCCCTGAACCCAAGAGGACCCCACCAGCCAGGCCTGTGGGGCGAGAGCAGCTCTCTTGGCTCCCTCAGCCGCCCCCACAGCAAGCTGGCTAAGGCTGCAGTGCTGCCAGGGTTTGCCTCTTCGAGGGATACTTATGTAAATAATGTTATTTTTAACAGAGGAGATAAAGGCAGAAAACACCACAGGAAATTGGCTGACAGCAAAGAGCGGAAGGAAGAAGAGGTGCCCCTATACTAAACACCAGACGCTGGAATTGGAGAAAGAATTTCTGTTCAATATGTATTTGACGCGAGAGCGCCGCCTGGAGATTAGCAAGACCATTAACCTTACAGACAGACAAGTCAAAATCTGGTTTCAAAATCGCAGAATGAAACTCAAGAAAATGAACCGAGAGAATCGGATCCGGGAACTGACCTCCAATTTTAATTTCACCTGAGCTCGGGGGGCCTCCCCTCCCCCTCCTTTCTCTCCCCCCCCCACCTTCCTTTCCCCGCCCCTCCTCCCTTTGTGCCTGGTGGTATATTTTTTTTTTCCTCCCTGAGTATAAATGCAACACGCCTGCAAAAAAGGCAAAGACCTCAGACTCTCCTTCCAAGGGACCTATCGTTCGTGCTCCGAAGATGCGTCCACCTAAAGCATGAGAAATGGGGTGCTGGGGTGTGGGGTGTGGTGTGCCCACATAGATGAGGGTGGGAGTGTGGCTGGTGTGTGTGTCAACCCCTCACTCACGCACGCACTCACACATGGCATCCTGTTCTCCAGGCAAAGTTAAGGTCGAATCCACCCGATTATAGGGGGAAAAAATCAACCAGAGAAGGTCTGTAATCTCGCAGAGCACAGACAGAATCAGAATCGCTTCTTCCTTGCTGCATTTCCTCCTTAGAATAATAGACGTTTTGGAAAGTTCAGCTAGTGTTTGTGTGTTTGTCGTAGCGTCCAGCGCCTCTGCCAAACCCTCTCTGTGTCTTTACCTCCCAGTCGCTCTGAGAATCTGCTTGAAGTCTCGTATTTGTACTGCTTTCTGCTCGTCTCCCATCCTCCCAGCACCCCTACATCCTCCATCCACTGCCATCTCAGAAATTCCATTCAGAGGAACAAAAAACAATTTTTAAATTAAAAATAGAACATAGAGAAGCAAAGACAGAATGCCCCTCCCCCAAATATTACCCTGTCCCTGTCTGGGAGTTGTGTTATTTAAAGATATTCTGTATGTTGTATCTTTTGCATGTAGCTTCCTTAATGGAGAAAAAAAATCCTAATAAATTTCCAGAATCGTAATCCTCAAATGGGTGGTTTTTTTGTTTTTTAGTGTTTTTTTGTTATTTTTTTAGCGACACCCTCCCCCCAAAGAGGCTGAGTGTGTGGATGTGTGTGTTTTGTGTTCGACTCATCTCCTAGAGCCTTTCTAGAACGTCTCTTGGCGGGTTTAATGTAAGTGAGAGACCATAACGTTGATTTAAATATTATCCAGGTGACCACAATAAGTCAAGGTCATAAAACAGTAATGTCAGGACGGTCTTGGTGCGCGCGAGAGGTGGATTTTATGATCTGCAAATATAATGTGGTGCTGCAGTAAAAGATGCATTTAAAGGTGACTGGAGGAGGGAAAGAGGCAGAAGCAAACTGCAATCTTGAGGAGCAGACGGATCCCATTGCCTGGGGTGCTGGGCCAGGCGCACCCCACCACTGCTGGGGGGAACCCCAGGAGCCCCCCACCTATCCAAGGAGAGGAATAAACTTAACCGCCGGAGGGGGATGAGGAGCTGAGCCCCCCCCTTCTCGACAGCAGCAGCAGAAGCGCGGGCAGTGGCAGGAGGAGGAGGCAGCGACAAGGTAAGAGAAGCGGTTTCTTGTTCTCTTGGCGGCGGAGTGGGGACTACCGGCGTCCCCAGGTGCCCAGTGCGCGTTGGGCAGAGCAGGGTGGAAGGTGTTCTGGACATCTTTGCTTGCTGGGAGCCCAGGCTTGCCCTGTGGCGGCTTGAAGCGGAGGGCAGTGGCCACAAGCTCCCCCTCCCTGACCCATTGCCTTGGGGTTCGGCGGTTAAAGGGGTAAATTGGTGGTTTTTGGCTTCTTTCTTTACTCGGTCACTCTGGGTCGCCTGGAACTCGACACATGGGTCTTGATGTAGCTCAGTCTGGTTGTCTGCTGGGGGGAGGCAGAAGGAGGATGGGCTGGCGAGGGTTGGAGCTTGAAGCTTAGGTTTTCCTGCTTTCTGCTGGTTTAGATGTGAGCCTTAGCCAGGCTCTCGGTCCCCACTTGCTCTGGCTGTGGGGCTTTGCCAGGCAAGTGGCCTGATTGGAAGAGGCTTTGGAGTGGTTCAGCCACACACGGATGAAGGGAAGCCAGAGTTCAGCTGAGAGACGGAGAGGATCAGAGGAAACCTAGGGGGAGAGCACAGGAGAGCCAGAGGGCAAGACAGGGGACCCAGCTCGAGAGTGGAAGGACACTCCAGCTTCCCCCAGGGCCAGGGCCAGAGGCAGGGGGATCGCCCCACTGCGGTGCTGGGGGCGGGGCGGGGGTTTGGCGTCTTGAGGTACCATTTCACCAGAGTCCCTGAGCGATTTGCTTAGTCCAGAAGCTGATGAGGCAGTCAGACCCCTTACCCACCCAGCCACCCAAAGTCTACCCTCTAGTCCTTAGGGAGGTTGTGGGGGCGGAAAGGGGGACGGGGCTGAATTTCTTCCTTCCCCAACCCCCTTCCCTTCTCCTCCCGATAGATGCAAAGCTGAATCTCCCGCCCTGCTTGCTCAGCTGATCTGTGGCTTAGGTAGTTTCATGTTGTTGGGATTGAGTTTTGAACTCGGCAACAAGAAACTGCCTGAGTTACATCAGTCGGTTATCGTCGAGGGCCCCAACCCACCTATCCCGCTCCTACCCTCTCCAGTGGGACTGCTCCCCAGGCCCCCTCCTAGACAGGGCAAAATGGGTACAGACTGAGGAGGGCAAGCTGTGAGTGGGGCCACATGACAAGTCTGGAGAACCCCAGTTTATCCCGTCCACTCCTCAGCCTGTCCCAATCCCCATGCTTGAGGGAGAGGAGTTTTTCCTGCAGCTATTGTTTCCTGGGCCCAGCTGATGGAGACAGACAAAGGAGGTCTAACCAATTCCAAGGAAATTCAGGAATTTGAGTAAGAGGTGGCCTGGAGGGCTAGCTCAGCTGGGTAGCAGGGTGGGGCAGGATGATTAGAAGAGAGAAGACCACAGAAATAGAAAGGAGTCTTTGAAGGGTTAGCTTTTCCCACTTGCCACCCCTAAGGAAAAAAAAAAAAATCTGCCTCCAGTCGACTGGGGCTGGAGCTTCTTCTTAGAAAAGTGGGGTGCGTGGGGGGGTCCCAGGAGCTGGGGAACTCTGAGCGCCAGCTCAGCCACCTTCTCTTCCTCTTGGATAGCCCCATCCCCAGGAGAAGGGCATATTTAGGGTGTTAGTAGGCTAGAAGAAAGTCATCAAGTCCAAGTAGAAACCCCCCCCACACGCCCTACTGGGAAACATCAGGGCAAGAATCTGGCTCTGGTCTCTTTCTAGCTGTCTGTTGCCCGTAGGCCTTGGTCTGTTGTGTCTGTGCCTGTCAGGCAGCTGCTTGTCTTTGCACTGTGTGGAAAGGTCTGGGTGAACGGAGGCTGCCAGCGCCCACCATTATCATATTGTTGGAGAGGTTGTTGGCTGATGCCAGGGGGAGGAGGGGAGGACATGGAGTAAAGGGGCATCTGAGCAATGTGCAACTTTACAAAGCGTTTTCCCCTCCTTGCCCTTCTCTGGTTCCTCAGTTCTGGTCCTGGTTGCTAGAGAGAGGGCTCTCCAAAGAGGTTTCTCTGCCTGCAGAGAAAAATGGGGAGGGTCACGGAAAATGGGGAGGTACACTCCTGCTCTCAGACTGGGAAAGAGAAAGTCAAAAGGCAAAGGACAGGTTCTTGGTTCTCTTACTTTGGAATTGTTATGATTATTAAAACATTAGAAACTTTCAGACAAGGAAACAAGTCATGTCCCTGTAACACAGTATATCCATAAAGTTTATTCACGCAGTTGTCTGCTGGGGGGATATATGGAACCTTGCATGTGTGTGGGTCTCTGTTTCTATCTCTCTGCCTCCTCCAGGCTCTCCCAGATCCCCTGTATATATTTTTGTGCATACTCATGTATTTTTCTCTCTCTCTTATACAAAGAGATCCCATGGAGACTAGAGGAGAGAATAATAATAGAGCCTCCCTTCTCCCCAGCTGAAACTGTCAGTCTGTCTTTCTGTCTGCCCCCTCAACCCTTTGTAAGGGAAAAAAAAAAATCTCTTCCCTTGGAAGGAAGTGCTCAAATCGTCCTATGGCTCCCAGGGAAATGGGGAGGTTTTCAGGGAGGAAGGCCAGCTGGTGCGAGGCAGGCAAGGGCTTCCCCAGTTTGGGAGCCCTTGGCAGTCTCTGAGTTTGCAGTCTGTCAGAAGCCCGGGGCCAGCTGGAGTGAAGGGAGTCCCAGGCAGGGGCGGGGTGCTCAGAAGTGCCTGGCTTTGAGACAGTGTCCCTGATGGGCCGAAATTTACCAATGAACGACTTCTGCGCTTTGGGTCTCTCAGCCCCAATTTCCATTTCAGAGCTGGTGGGCTTATAGGGGGGTGGCCATAGAGCCATGGGTCTGGGTGTCCCCCCCCAATATCCTGGGGAGTGGGGTGCATTCTCACAGGGCCAAGGTGAGGGCCAGTCTGGTGGCCAGTGTCCACCGCGGGGCCCTGGGGCCGTGGATCATGGCTAAGGCGATGGTGATTATTTATTCGCTTCGCTGGAGGGGAGTCTTCAAAAGAAACAGCGTGAAGAGGAGGGAAAAAATTATCTCTCTCGTCTGTGGATATTAAGATGGATTTTTATTTCTTAAAGGACCCTCCCCGCCGAGAGCGCATAAGCGTAAACTTAATATATGCTCTGCAGCCCAACTCCAGAAATCGCAATAAAAGTTAAAACCTCCCCTACTGGTTTTTTTTAATTATGATATGGGAAAGAGGAGCAGGATTTATAGAGCTGAACTCTCCGCGTGTAAGTGTTTAAGACTTGCGGGAGAAGGAGGAAAAGGCAAGAGCTCGCCAAGGAGAGCCTTGGTCTCTGAGATCTCTCGCCGGCTGCGGGAGCTCCGGCTTAGGCGGCGGATCATCTGTGGCCTCCCTGGGACCTCGGCTCCCGGGCACCCTCCGCCCGGCCCACCGCCCTGCCTCGGCTGGCTCGGAGATGCGGCCCTTCTTGAGAACAGGTGAAGGGCAGCGGGGCCGGGGAGAGGGGGCTGCGGGTGGGGGCGTTGGGACACTGGGCTTTGTGTGGGTCCCGTGCAGGGGAGGAGGTGTGCAGCCCCGGGCAGGGCCGCGGCCCGAGGGTGGTCAGCGGGCGCCTTGGCTCGGAAGGGTGTCCGGCCGGGCCCCGAGAGCACGGACAAGGTGGATTGTGTGAGGACTTTGGCCGCAGAT